CTTTTCTTGCCTGATGTGCCTGAAGTATAGCAGTGAGACTGGAAACACAATATATTGCCAGGCTCTCCACTTCATGAAGACATGCTCCTTGGGCACAGACACATGAGGAAAACAGGATTGGAAACACTGCCTTTAGTCACTCTTTAACCCAGGCAGGGGCTGAACTACATTTGGAGGCTTCTGAATTATTATAGAACTTGGTGAGCTGAAATGGTTGCTTTTTCCATATTTGTTACAAAAAAATCTAAGTCTCAACAGTTTTAATTCAGCCGAGAAACTCTAATTCTTTGGCCTATAGAAGGCAGACAATGCTTTCCACAGAAGAGAATTAAATTTTCCTAACTTTTCAAATGAAAAGATGGGCATATCATTTAGCAAAAAGTTTGGGCTTGGCTATGTATTTCTCACCTAGATTACTTAAAATGCAAATTCCCAAGCCCCATCTCCAGAGATTCCAAATCAGCAGTAGGAGAAGCAAAGGAAATATACATTTCATGTATTTTCATGTACATGTCAAGGGATTCCAATCTAGAAGGTACAAGAATAGAATTTGAGGAACACTGTTCTCCATTCCTGGGAATGGTCCTAACTATACTACCAAGAAAGAAAAATAGTAACAAGAAGCAATTTGTAGACTTCTAGACATTGTAATCACAAAAAATATTTTTTCTATTGTTTTAATATAAAGGGTGATTTCATGGCTGCTGTGCAGAAATTGATTATGGCTCCTAGATACAAGGGGCATCTCTTGTATAAATGGGAATATCCCTTGAATCAAATGTTCACCTCTGAGTATGGTATTTTCTGGATATGTTCAATATACTAATCAAGGCTGTGCTTATTTCAAATTCTATCTTAAAGGCCGGGCGAGGAGGCTCACGCCTGTAATCCTAGCACTCTGGGAGGCTGAGGCAGGCAGATCACTCAAGGTCAGGAGTTCGAAACCAGCCTGAGCAAGAGCAAGACCCCATCTCTGCTAAAAATAGAAAGAAGTTAATTGGCCAACTAAAAATATATAGAAAAAATTAGCTGGGCATGGTGGCACGTGCCTGTAGTCCCAGCTACATGGCAGGCTGAGGCAGAAGGATCGCTTGAGCCCAGGAGTTTGAGGTTGTTGTGAGCTAGGCTGATGCCACGGCACTCTAGCCAGGGCAACAGAGTGAGACTTTGTCTAAAAAAAGAAAACAAATTCTATCTTAATAACACAAGTGAGGATTCAAAAATGGGTAGTACAGGATGGTCCGATGGTAGTGGGTTATCAGAACTCATTAACATTAGTGTCACTAAAGTTGGTATTCAACCCCTCCCCTGCTAAATTTGACTGGCTAAAATAAATTAATTAAATTAAATTTTAAAAAAAGGGTAGTACATATATTAGGAGAGGAAGCTACAGTACTTACAAAGTGTTTAAAGAATGATTTCATTCCCCTTTCATAAACAATCAATAGTTCATAGTAGTAGAATCTAGCAAGATGCAAGAGTTAATTTACACAAACGCTCTGGATTGCAGGGCAACACATGGCAGACACTGTCAAGCAATCTCTTGAGTTGATAGAATTCTTGTCTTGGCCAACTTTAACTGCTATGTCAAATCCGTTCAGTAATTGGCTCAATGAGGAACAGGAGGGAAGTAAGCAGCTAGAAAGAGGAAAAGGGGAGGGAGGCAGGATGGCTTCCATATGTTCTAGGTAGCACCTAAACTGCTGTCCCTTTAACCTGGAGGGCACAGCTTGGGCAACATAGTGAGACCCAGTCGGTATAAAAATTAGCCAGGCATGGTGGTGGCTGCCTGTTGTCCCAGCCACTCGGGAGGTAGGAGGATCGCTTGAACCCAGGAGTTTGAGGCTGCAGTGAGCTATGATGACGCCACTACATTCTAGCCTGGGCAACAGAGCAAGACCTTGATTCAAAATAAATAAATAAACAAACAAACAAACAAATAAATAAATTAGAGGGCACTGTAACAGCTCTCTGAAGGATGGAAGTCAAAGAAAATTTTAAGGGCATAAGGGAGATGAACCACTCAGCTTGTGGGAAGCAGAAAAGGCTTTCATATTTTCTTCCTGGTATATAATGTAGTGCACATTAAGGTTTTCAAATACTCAAATACTTAATCTTTTGTTTTTCCCATATCACTGAGTAACTAGGAAGTGTGTGGGCCTCTTTGAGCCTCCAGGATAAAAGAATTAAACTAAGGAAATAGAGACAGAAAGGGCTCTATATTACAGATAAAGACAATAACTAAACTTGTAAGAAAAAACCAACTTTCCAATTATTTTTTCAACACAGAAGCAATTATTACCACCTGTTCTATATAATGTAAGCGTTAACCCTTTGCACTCGCTTTTTTCTCGATTCCTTTATTCTACTTGGGATTTAATTTTTTAAATACTCCAGATTTTACAAAGCGTGGCAGTAGAATAAAAAACTGGAGTTTCTTTTATTTATTTGGATTTTTTTATGTTTCAAATTATTGATACATTCAAAGAGTAATTTTAATCTCTATAATTTTTGCTAACCGTGTGGAGTCACACTCGACATCTGAGTGCAAAGGGTTAAGATACTTCTGTACAACTGCAGCCATAAACTAATTTCTTTCAAAACCATATGGAGCATGGCTTTAGAGGTTTTTTTTGTTTGTTTTTGAAAAATTATATAGATGCATTAATAAAATATTTCCTACTATTCAAGTCAGCTATTCTTTTTTCCTGTGATGGTACTGAGTCCAAATTCCTGAAAAAATAGGATTTTGGCTTGGGGAAAAAGTAAATACTTTTTAACTTCACTTCAGATAATTTTTTTAAAAAGCAATTCTACTTGAATAAACAGAAATATAAATAATTAAAACACATAAGACAAGTTGATGACTTCTTACCTTGCTACCACTTTCGGGTTTAAGGTCACTCTGCTCAAAAGAGGAAAACAAATATTTTAAGATATATCCAAATGAACTCTTACTCTGTGCTTGTTTCTAACCTTGAAACTTGATACTACATTCCGGTGACAGTGACTTCTCTGGAAGACTTCCAGGGCTTTACATAGGTACTGAACCCCACCCACCCTGAGTACATCAGGGTGCCCTGTTAGAATGGTATGTATGGATGGTTTAAAACATCCACAGTTACTACCTATAGCAAGGAACTTGCAAGAACAGGCAAACCACTATTTTAGATAGAGATGTTATTAATTGCATTATAAAAAACACATCAATCAATAAAAATAATAATCCCGAATCAATTCCCTTAGTTTTTCAGAGATATACATGTGCTACTTGGCCAACAAGAGGCTATATCTTAGCACAGTAAGGCTAGATGATTTTAGAGAAAATTTAGCCTGGCTGCTGGGTAGAATGAATGTCCCTTTTAATAATTCATTCCCTCATTGTGTTCTATGACTGTTTAGTAGTTTTCTCTGCATAAGTTCTCCTAACTCCGAGAGTTCTTACCGGATGGACATCACCAATATAGTACTGCTTTAACATTTCTCTGGCATCAGAGGAGTGTCCTACATCTTCAAAGCTTTCACTTGCATCTATACCAGCTTGTTCCAGCAGAACCTCTTCTCCTCCAGGATGCTACAAGGAAAAGAGATTTATTGAACAGGGAGTTCGTTCTCTGAAAAGCAAGCCAGTAAGTTATTTTCTCACCCCATTTTCCTTTCTCCTTTCTCCCTTTAATGGGAATAATGGAACAAAGCTGCATCATGTGCCACCTTAGAGGATGCAGTGGAGGAACACAGTATAACTTCTGTGATATTCTAGCCAAAAATGCACAATATGGGGATTATTGTGAGAAAACCCAGACAACTGCAAATTGAGAAATATCCTACAAAATCTCTGTGGACAGGACTGGCCTATGATCTCCAAAGATATCAAGGTCATGAAAGTCAAGGAAAGACTGAAGAAACTGTTCCAAATTGAAGGAGGCTAGAGAGACATGACAACTGGCAACAACAAGTGATCTTGGGTTGGTTCCTTTTGCCAACATTATTGAGTCAGCTGCAGAAACCCAAATGGGGACTCCTGTCAAAGGGTATGTGAATTCTTTATTATCTTCCTGCAACTTTTCTATAAGTTTGAAATTGTTTTAAAATAAAAGTTTAGGCCGGGCGCGGTGGCTCATGCCTGTAATCCTAGCTCTCTGGGAGGCGGGCGGATTGCTCAAGGTCAGGAGTTCAAAACCAGCCTGAGCAAGAGCAGAGACCCCCGTCTCTACTATAAATAGAAAGAAACTAATTGGCCAACTGATATATATATATATATATAAAAAATTAGCCGGGCATGGTGGCACATGCCTGTAGTCCCAGCTACTCGGGAGGCTGAGACAGAAGGATCGCTCGAGCCCAGGAGTTTGAGGTTGCTGTGAGCTAGGCTGACGCCACGGCACTCACACTAGCCTGGGCAACAAAGCGAGACTCTGTCTCAAAAAAAAAAAAAAATAAAAATAAAAAATAAAATAAAATAAAATAAAAGTTTAAATAAATAAATAAATAAGCAGTACCAGAGGAAACAGATTCTGTAACTATAAGCTATGTGACCCTGAACAAGTTATTAAAAAATTGAGCTATCTTTATTTATAAAATGGAGATAATATGATATTTATCTTGACAACTATTGTGCATATTAAATGAGATAAGGATGCAAAACGCTTTGTGCTCCAGAAGAGCAAGGTATAGTAGGTATAATACGCTACCATCTATGATTTTAAAAAGCAGATATTAATAGATACACATAGAAAAAAATAGATACACATAGGCTTACACATGCATAAAATACACCTGGAAATGCTGAAGAGAACCTAGTGGTTGGGAGTCAGGGTGGGAAGGAAGACTACCCTGTATACACTCTTGAAATTGTTTTACCAAGTAAAGCATTACCTATTCAGAAAATAAATTGTTTTTTTAAAATTACACTTAGCTTACTGTAGTCCTTAACTTAAAGTAAACGCTCAATAAACATTACTTATAATTGGCAAATTTAGAATTTACATTATTCAACAAATCCAAATTTATATTTTGAAATAATGCTTTTTACTTGGTTGTTTTTTTTAACAACCATTTAAGGGGGAACAATATCATTCCTATTTTAAATATTTATTCAACTGAAGTACAAAAACTCTTAAGTGTAACCTCTTAGTCATAGTTACTTGCCTATGAGCTGCCTGAGGATAAGGAAAACTTCTATTTTTGTCTCCTAAAAGGTCTCCACCCAGCAGGTGGGTCTCACATCCCAGTATTTAAGCATGCTATTTTAAAGCAAAAGACAGTAACCACTTGTTATTACATCTGAAACCTCAGATGTGTTTTCTGTCATGGAACTAAGTCATTAGCTCTGAAATTATGTCCCAATTTGCTCTATGCACCTCAGCTAGGGAAGATATATTTTTTCCTTATGACATACCCCAACTATTATGTTTCCTTTCAGAGTAAAAGGACAACAAAACTTCTTAGCAGCTTGAGATATTTCAGAGAAGGACTGACTTCCTAGACAGCTCTTTCTACTAAGTACTTTCATTTTCACCAATCTCTTTAAATGAGTAAACAAGAGGAAGCACACTTTTAAAAAATATAAAAGTAAAAATTATATTAATAGATTCACTGTGATAAATTTGGGAAAAACAAGAATAAAGAATCAACTATAGGCCGGGCGCGGTGGCTCACGCTTGTAATCCTAGCTCTTGGGAGGCGGGCGGATTGCTCAAGGTCAGGAGTTCAAAACCAGCCTGGGCGAGACCCCATCTCTACTATAAAAAATAGAAAGAAATTAATTGGCCAACTAATATATATATAAAAAATTAGCCGGGCATGGTGGCGCATGCCTGTAGTCCCAGCTACTCGGGAGGCTGAGACAGAAGGATCGCTCGAGCCCAGGAGTTTGAGGTTGCTGTGAGCTAGGCTGACGCCACGGCACTCACTCTAACCTAGGCAAGAAAGCAAGACTCTGTCTCAAAAAAAAAAAAAAGAATCAACTATATAGTCCTGTAACAGAAATAAATACACTTAACAATTTGGTGCATAAAATTCCATTGCTTGTCCTGTGCATTCTTTCAATCATTTCAGTCATTATGCTACAATTTCTATTGAGGCTGTACTATTAGTATTTTATGTAGTAGGTAGTGATAAATAAAAGTTTTTGTGTTCTTACAAAAGTGAATTCATATGGTACATGTCTTTTATCCTTTTTTTCATTGAAAGGTGATCAGAATGGTCCCCAAAAACCTTAGTAATTCTCATTCTAAAAGGTGGTCTTCATAGAGATGGCTTAGAATGAGATAAAGAATGAAGGAAACAGATTTTAGGGAACCCTTGGTTGCTGTCTTAAAACTCTATAATAATAAAAAAAAAGAAACTCTATAATCTTCAGATATTGTTATTTAAAATCAAATGGATACAAGGCTACAGAGGGAGGGCCTCCGGCAACCTAGCTGAAAGCAATGCACTAGGCCCAAAGCCACAGCAGCATCCTGGGCCAGTTCTAAGCCAAGAGAATGCCCAGGCTGAGGAGCATGAGAAGGCCTTGAGGAGAATCCAAAGAGCCGCCTTGCCCGATTAGAAACCAGGCTAGCTCTCACTGAAGATGACTGGTAGGAGCTGCTAGTAGACTCCAAGCCAGCCCCTGGATAGTCCTGCCATATTTATCATCGCCTTCTAGGGCACCATCCACCACTGCGTGTTCATCCTGCTGCAGAGTGACAAGAAGCTCATCCACGAGCAAGTATTTGACAGTTAAGTCCTAATCTGAAGCAGAGTCTTCAGGGAAAATGGAAATTACCTTCCCGAAAAAGGTTTTCTTGACATGAAAATACTACTTCCAACAACCCAGAGGATGAGTTTTTCAAAAAACTAAAAGGAAAACAGTGCCATTTTCTCCCACTATGTTCTGGGACATGATGAAAGGGATTGTAACAAATGTCCTCCCTATGATTTTTACAGATGCCTTAATCAATGTGACATTTTCAGGCTTTCTCACCACCAAGGTCCTATTTCCACAGACCCTCTGTTTTTAAGCCTATGCTGCAGCAAGGAATCAAGCTACCCACATTAGAAGTATCGTGGCAGAGTTCTGCATCCTGGTATTTCCTCAATGTATTTGGGCCTTAGAGCATTTAGTCTGTGATCCTGGGCCAAGATAATGGCCATGATCAATAAGGAATGAGGCAAGAGCAGATGACTGGAGCAGCCAAGGCCAGCCCGCAGATACCAACAAAGCTTCTAAGACAAAATGGGAAGTTTTGAAGGTAATGAATCAGATGATGGGCAACAGATGATGTCAAAGAAGAGCTCATGGGCAAAGAAAAGACCTCCCCTTTGAAGGCATGTTCAAAAATGAATTACAGAACTCTTTTTCTTTAAAGACCAAGCAGAGATTTGCTCTGCCAGAACTTGGGAGTAGCCCTTAACTTGCTAATGTTCATTTGAAATACAGCCTCTTAGAATAAAAAGAAAGATGCATGAACTGGTGGGTGTGCAGCAAGCATCACTTTTATAGGAGCCAGATTCCCCTTTTTTGCCTGAAACTAGAGGAAATGAGGAGCATGTGCTGGGTGACTTGCAGGAAAAGAGCCATGTAAAAAATGTTTTTAATTTTCCTTCTGGTGACTCTAGAAATGAAAGTAAGACAAAGGGAGAAAACTCAAGCTAGTAATAATATATAAAAACTTACCAAAAATTCAATCTTTGGAAAAAGCATTGTGGATTATAACTAATTATTATGTCCAGTAAGTCTGACATTTTTTTTCTTTTCTTTTTTTAGAGATAGGGTCTTGCTCTGTCACCCAGGCTAGAGTGCAGTGACACCATCATATCTCACTGCATCCTCAAACTCCTGAGCCCAAGGGATCCTCTAGCCTCAGCCTCTAGGGCAGGTGGGACTGCAGGCATGTGCCACCACACCTGGCTAGTCAGTCTTTTTTTTTTTTTTTGCTAGTCAGTCTTTTAACCACAGTAAACTATTGTTTTCTTGGGATACAAATACCCTGCATTTCTCCATTTAATTGTGTTAGTATTTCTATAACTTTCTTTACAAAAGTAGTAATTTTCATTACTGAAAACATAGAAACTATGAATAAGTAAAATGAATCGTCCTGTATTATTGTTCTTGAGCTTACAGAATGACATGAAGAGCAAATGTGTCAAAATTTTATTCACAAACTCTTTAGAGTGCATACCCAGGGCTAGGACAGACTTAGCAAACCTTTTCTATCTTTTAATACTGTCCAGGGAAAATTGGCAACCCTGACATACTGCTGCATTCTCAAGTGCTTTCAGGATTATCAAAGACAGGTTAACAAATGAGAGGTTCTTAATCTGGAGTTGAGAATGTATCAAATCCATTGAAAAAAAAATCACTGTTTCTATACTGTATACGGCCACTCAGTTGAACTAAAGGCCTAGTTATTCTGGATTAGAGAGTTTATATAACGTTTTAAGAAGAGTGAGAGTAATTGCTAGCAGACAGAGAGATAAGTGTTGCCCAGGAATTATTCTGTCTGGATTAAATGTGCCACGGTGCCATTTCTGTATCAACAAGTAGATGTAATTTGCATGATGAACACTATAATTAAGAACAAATGAGGC